CACACAGAGCTTTTTCTTTTCTGAGATCACTTTTTCCTTATCATAGATTTAGAGTTGGAAGAAAACATGGAGCCCATCTAGAGGCAGCTAGGTGTAGAAGTAGATAGGAAGCTGGGCCTGGAGTCAGGAAAACCTGAATTCTAATTCAGCCTCAGACACTTCCTAGCTATGTCATCCAGGCAAGTCACTTCACCTCTGTTTGCTTCAGTTTCCTCATCTGTAAAATGGGGATAATAATAGTACTTACCTTGCAAGGTTATTGTAAGGATCAAATAAAATAATAAGTGTCATGTGCTTAGCACAGTACCTAACACATAGTAACCATTATATAAATGTTAGTTTTTATCATTATTATGATTAGCTGTGTGACCCTGGGGAAGTCACTTAACCCCTGTTTGCCTCAGTTTCCTCAACTGTAAAATGGGGATAATAATATCACCTACCTCCCAGGTTTGTTCTGAGGATCAAATGAGATAATATTTGTCAGATCCTTAGGACAGTACCTGGTACTATATGAATGATTATTCCCCTCCAGCCCTTTCATTTTATTGGTGAGGAAACTGAATCCCAAGGGAGTTAAGTGACTTTCTCAAGGTCACACAGGCAGTAAGGAAACAAGTCAAGAATTGAGCACAAGTTCTTTGATTCCAAATTCAGGATTCATTCCCTAGTATGCCACTCTCCATAGTCCAGCTTGTATCATGCTTGCGATTATATACATTCTGTCCCATAGGGATATTTTAAAAGATTTCATAGGCACACCCTACATTTGAGTTTGCAAAGCACTTTCCTCAAGACCTCTACCCCATGAGGCAGATTGTCCAAATATTTTTGTCTCCGTTTTGCAGATAAAGTGACTTGGCCATTGCTACCCAGCTAATAAGTGTCTGGGGCAGGATTTGAACCCAGGTGTCCTGCCTCCAGATCATTCCAGATCATAGTGTTCATTCTGCTACACCAGGCTTCCCCTAATTAGATGGGAACTCTTCAAGGGCAAAGTCTCTGACACTTTTCATATCTATGTCCCCAGCACCTAGCACAGAGCCTGGCCATAGCAGAAGCTTAAGAAATGACTGGTGGATTGTGCTGGATTTAACTGAACTGAAAGGAAGGCAGAACATGAAATAACCACTAAGGGGTTGCTTTCTATGAAGGTCCATCAGATCCTTACATGCACTCATTGATAGGCAGGACAGTTCCCCAGCCACAAGTGAAGATCATCACTCACCACTAGGTGGCACCAGGAGAGAAGGTCTTGCTCCTGTAGATTCTCTGGAAGGAAAGCAGATGTTTTATCAGGCAGCTAAGAAAGCCATCTGCTCTCCTGCGGATTTTTCAGCTCTACGTTTGGTATAGGGCACGAGCCCTAAAGTCACTTCCTTTCTCTGGGCCTTAGTTTCCCATCTGTAGAATGAGGGTATCTTTGAAGTTTGAATAAAAGTATCTGAGGTTTCTTCCAGTTTGAAATCCCATGATCTGCCTGCATCCAGAAGAGAATGAATGGACCAAACTCCAGAAATGGTTTCCTAACAATCTGACAAGATGGTGTAATGGAAGGAAGAGTTCCAGGCTTTAGGGTCACCTCTGACATTTAGTAGCTAGGTGACCTTAGGCAAATGACTACGAAGTCATCCGATCCTCAGGCTTTTCATTTGTGAAATAAGTATAATAATGTTTATACTATCTCCCTCAAAGGTTAACATGAGGGACAAATGAGATGACAATTATATTTGAAGGTTTTCAAAACACTTTATATGCAATATCTCATCTGATCCTCACAACAATCCTCTGAGGTTAGTAGTACCATCATCCTCATGATTTTACAAATAGGCAATTGAGTCTTAGGGATATTAAGTGACTTAATGTGGATAGAGCTCTGGCCTTGGAGTCAGGAGGACCTGAGTTCAACTCTGGCCTCAAACACTTGACACTTACTAGCTGTGTGACCCTGAGCAAGTCACTTAACCCCATTGCCTAGCCAAAAAAAACAAAAGAAAACAAAAGGGGGGGATAGCTAGGTGTCTGGATATTTGTTATTGACAACTGATCCCAGTTATCATAACCATCATCATCATCATCATCATCATCAATGTTATTATTAATATCAAGTTCTTCTATCTCAAGGCATTTAGGTGGTGCAGTGGATAGAGTGCTGGGCCTGGAATCAAGAGGACCTGACTTCAAAGTGCCTTAGGTACTTACTAGCTATGTGACCCTGGGCAAGTCACTTAACCCTGTTTGCCTCAGTTTTCTCTTTTGTAAAATGAGCTGGAGAAGTAAACCACCTCAGCGTCTCTGCCAAGAAAACCCCGAATGGGGACACAAAGAGTCAGATATGACTGAAACAACTCAGAAACAACAACAACCTTCTATCTCTCCCATGGCCTCATTCATTCCAGTCCAATAAACAGTTTATTAAGTACCTACTATATGCTAAGCACCTTGGGTCATGGTTCTGCTATTTATCAGCCAGGTGACCACAGACAAGTCACTTTATTTCTACGAGTCCTAGCGTTCTTACCTATAAAATGAGTAGTTTGTTGGACTGCTCTGAAATGTTTTATGTTTATACTTACATGAGACTTATGCTTATACTTCTGTATCCTCAACAAATTTAGAAGGGTTGTTGCTGCTGTTGCTGCAGCTGGTGAAGTCCAGGGTAATGACAGGGAGGTGGATTTGGGGACTAAAGAATTGAATTTGTGGTGGTTAGACAGGAAAAGGAACAAAAAGAGATGGTAACACCTCTAAGGTGACCTCTGGCCTGCTATGTCAAATGGGCTGAGCTCATAGCTTGCTCCCTCAGCCAGCTCAGCTTTCCAAAGTATACACTATAGACGAGTCCGCTTGGGCCCTGGGGAACTGGGAAGGTAATCTTCCTTTTTCCAACAGAACTCCACCTTTATGGAAAGGGAAATGTGGTAGGTGCCAGGGCCGACTTTGCCACTGATTAACTGTGTGACCTTAGGCAGATCACTCCCCCCTATCTGGGCCTCTGTAGGTTTTCAAGTCCTTTCCAGCTCTGATAATCTTGGACTGGGAGAGTTAGGTTCAGTGGAAAAAGCCCACGCTGAGGAGTTGGGTTCAAATCTTACCTCTGATGCTTAGTCAATGTATGATCCCAGGCAAGTCAACTCTTCTCCCTAGGTCTCAGTTTTCTCATCATAAAATGAGAGGTTTGGACTAGAAGGCCCCTGAAGAGTCTCTCTGTTGTATATCTATAAGCTTATGTTTCTATGTTGTTCAAAAATACATAAATGGAATAACATCTTAACGCAGCAATATTACTGTATCGTTTCCTTTGCGTGTCTTGGGATGAGGAACAGGGTGAGAAATAAGGATTAATTTTGTGTTTGTTTGTTTTGTTTTTTACTAAGCCTGTGATTTCATTTGTTTAGGGAACTCCCGGGGAGAAAATTCCCTGCACCAATGCAGTTCAGTTTAGTATCTGCTCTGCACCTTGCAACCCAATGAATGAATGGACAAATGAAAAAAGCACTTATAAAGCATTTATTCTGTGAGAAGCACTGAGGATACAAATTGAAAAGTAGAGACAGCCCCTGCTCTCAAAGAGGCTACATTCTAATGATCTAAAATGGTTTCCTGGGGGACCAAGAGGTTAAGAGACTTGACCAAGACCATCCAGTCGTTATGTTAGAGGTATAATTGAAACTCCCGTGTTCTTGACTCTGAGGTCTTCCTCCATCCAGTAAGCCATCTGACTCTCTTCTTTCTTCCTTTCTGCTTTCCCCCTACCAATAGGTTGACCAAATAACCTACCAATTCCTAAACCTGGTATACAAAGCCTTCTACAATTTGACTCCAAGATAACTTTCTAACCTTATCATCCTTTTACACAACCTACATTCCAAATAAACTGAACTGCTTGCCAAAACCAAATCTTGTCTTTTCCTGCCTTTGTGCCTTAGCTTATCCTATCTCCCTCAGCCAGAATGGTCTTTCCAACCCCCTCACCCTTATCTGTTTGCTGAAATCCTCCCCTTCTTTCAAGGCCCAACTCAGGTGGTACAGAATCCGCAGATACGGCCCTGATCTCCCAACCTGTAAGTGATCTTTCCTTTCTCAAATGTTCATTGTCATAGTATGATCCCTATTACAATTATTTGTATCTGTCACCCTCTACTACTGGATTGCAAACTTCATAAGGGCAAAGATGGTTAAATTATCACTTTTGTATCCCTGGGGTCTAGTCCAGTACTGTGCACATTATAGGTGCTTAATAAACATGAAATGGAATGTGATGTGATGCATTGGGAAACAATGGGATGCAGACGAACACAGTGGAATGCAATTCAGTGTAAGTTAATAGAATGGAAACAGTACTAGAAGAAGTTTCCAGTTAGGCAGCCCCACTACCAGCACTATTATTGTTGTTCAGTCACTTCCAACTCTCCATGACCCCATTTGGGGTTTTCTTGGCAAAGATACTGGAGCAGTTTTGCCATTTCCTTCTCCAGCTCATTTTAGAGATGAGGAAACTGAGGCAAACAGGGTTAAGTGACTTGCCCAGGGTCACACAGCTAGTGAGTGTCTGAGGCCAGATTTGAACTCAAGTCTTCTTGACTCTAGGACTTAGGCTCTATCCACTGCACCACTTAGCTGTCTACCACTGTAGTTCTGGAATAATGGTAAAAGCACTGGATTGGGATTCAGGAGACCTGGATTTTAGTCCTAACTCTGCTGTTTAACCTTGGGCAAGTCAATTCCATTCTCTGAGCCTCAGTTTCCATTTCTGTAAAAAAAGGGAGTGAGACTAAAAGCACTAACATCCCACTGAGATCTAACATTTTGTGCTCTTCCTTCTCCCACCCCCTTTTTTTTTCTCTGCAGGCCCTTATCCAGTCTTCTACTATCATGCCCCAAACCTCAGTCCCTGTGGAGGACACCTCATCACGCCCTCAATTCTGTAAGTGGCCGTGTGAGTGCCCCCCAACTCCACCCCGTTGCCCCCCTGGCATCAGCCTGATCACTGACGGCTGCGAGTGCTGCAAGATGTGCGCCCAGCAGCTCGGGGACAATTGCACCGAGGCAGCCACTTGTGACCCTCACCGGGGCTTGTACTGTGACTACAGCGGGGACCGCCCGAGGTACGCAATAGGAGTGTGTGCACGTAAGTGACATCCCTACAGTAAGCTGCTAGGCTTAGCTCTCTTGTGCATCGACCCTAACCGTGTCACTCTTCTGCTCAAGACCCTGCAATGGCTCCCAAATGCCCGCCTGGCATTCGAGGCCCTCCACGGTCTGGTGCCACTCCTGTCATATTCCTCTGCCTTATGTAGTCTAAGCTCTAAGTCAAACTAGGATAATTCTGGCTCTCCAGGAATCCATGCTTTCTGCTTCTATAGATGCTGGTCCTCGTGCAAGGAATGTTTGCCCTGTTCCTGCTCCACTAAATGCCTACACTTACATCTGCTAAAGCCCTACTAAGCGCCTCCCCCTCCAGAAGGAATTCTCTGCCCCCCATCAGCAGCAACCTCTCACCTTAGACTTCACATAGTATCTCATTTGCACCCTCTCGTGAGCCCCCAATATCTTTTAACTGTTTGTACATATGACGTATTCCTCACTACACTGTGAGGCACAAAGTAGGCATTTAATAATAGTACTGAAAAGGAGGCAAAACAAATGCATTGCTTGCTGAATTTGTCGCGTGCTCTTTGGGAAAAGGAAAATAGTAGGAAGGGAGAGGTACTTCCCTAAGTTTATCCCATGATGGCAGATAAGATAGTCTAGTTTTGGAAATGAAACCTGTGGCAAAATTGCTATAATACTCATGAAAATATGATTAATGCATGAAAGGAATACAAAGCGTTTTGAAACTTAGGATGAGGGAAAGATGCTTTTTCATGAAAGAATCAGGGAAGGCTTCATAGAGGAGGTAGCATTGGAATGGGGATCTGAATCATTATACTACAAAACAAAAGAATAGAGCTAACAAAGATCTTAGATGACCCTTGGATAAATGAATGGATGGATAGATGGATGGATGGATGGATGGATGGATGGATGGATGGATGGATGGATAGATGAATCAATAAATGAATATTAGCTCCTCAATTGGAGTGTAAGCTCCTTTAAGGCAGGGACTGTCTTTTGCCTCTTTTTTAAAAATTTATTTTAATTTATGGAAAAAAAGTATTCTTCTGCCTCTTTTTGTATTTCCAGTGCTTAGCACAGTGGCTGGCACATAAGCACTTAATAAATGGCTACTAATTGAATAAATACAACAAGTGACTGCTATGTTCCAGGCACTGTGCTAGGTACTAGCAAAATACAAAATGAGACAAGCCTTGCCCTTCTGGAGCTTACATTCTAGTCAGAGGAAACAATACCTATCCAGAAATTAGAGTTTTGGTCTAGGGAGGCCCAGAGAGCTCCATAGGCTCACCATATTGGTGCCAGACTTAGTACAAAATACCCAAATGGGTTTAGCATTGCTGCAACTCAGAACTCCCATGATTAATCCATTCGCCAGTCTCAGCTTCCTCAGAAGCATGGATTACAGGATTACACGAGTGTGCTACCATGCATGGCCAGAATATTGTTGTTGTTGTTGAGTCATTTCAGTCCTGACTCTTCGTGACCCCATTTTGGGTTTTCTTGGCAAAAATACTGGAGTGATTTGTTCTCTCCTTCTCTGGTTCATTTTGCAGATGAAGAAACTGAGGCAAACAGGGTTAAGTGATTTGCCTAGGGTCTCACAACTAGTAAGTGTCTGAGGCCAGATCTGAACTCATGAAGATGAGTCTTCTTGACTCCAGGCCTAGCACTCTATCCACTGTACCACCTAGCTGCCCTGTTGGGCAGTCATTGATAGGTAAAATGATGGGATTTAAAGGGAAATGACCTTTAACCATCCCAAAAGGAAAATCTCTCACATAACTGATATCTGAAAGTCCACCTTTTGTGATTCATTCTTTCAGTGGTAAAATCATGCTTTCTTTGAAATGTTTAAAAAGGAGAATGAGTTAGAGAAGGTGAAAGGAAGGCTGAATGAAAGAAAGGAAGAAGGAAAGCAATAGGCAGGAAATAGGGTACTAGGTAGGGCACTGAACTGGTAGTCAGAAAGACCTGCTGTATGACCCTGGGCTAGTTGCTTAACTTCCTGGGCCTTTGTTTCATAATCTATAAAGCCAGGGACGCAGTGACTGTGACTGTCCCTACTGGTCCTGAATCTGTGACTTCATAACTTCATGAAGTTCACAGTTTTGGCAAGTGCCAGACTTACTGCTTTGATAGTACAGTGGAGTGGAAAGAATACGGGACTTGACATCTGCAGCTGGTTTGAAAACCTAAAAAGCTCTGAGCCTCCATTTCCTCACCTGTAAACTAGGGATGATAACACTTGCACTGTCTACTTCCCAGGATTGATATAAAATAATTTTTAAATGATGTAATTATTAAATTATTATTAAAAAATTTTAAAACCTTAGATGCCCAAGAAATATGAACTATTATCATTTCTCATATATATGCATACCTAATTATGTATCCGTGTGTGTGTGTGTGTATGTGTGTGTGTGTGTGTGTGTGTGTGTGTGTGTGTGTGTTTGGAGGAGTGGATAGAAGGGAGGAGGTATTGGGGGAGAACATGAGAGAATACAAACTTATATAGCACCTACCAGCAACTGTGTTAAGTAGATTTACAAATATTATCTCCTTTGATCCTCACAACAACCCTGTGAGGTAAGTACTGTTATTATCCCCATTTTACAGTTGAGGAAACTGAGGTAGATAGTGATCTGGATACTTTCTCAGGGTCACACAGCTAACAAGTATCTGAAGTTAGATTTGAACTCAGGTCTTCCTGACTCCAGGCCCAGCTGTGCTACCTAACTGCATCCTTTATTACAAAGAGACAGATTTAGGCTTGATGATGAGAAAAACGTTCAACCAATTTCTACTCAAAAGTGAAACTGACTACCCCTGGAAGAAGTCAGAGTATCCCATGCTACAAGCAACCTAAGAGGCTATCTAATCCAACTCTGCGACATTTAAAAAGCCTCAAGAGACATAGTTTCTAGGTGATTTTGTTCTTAATATTTGTTATTAATAAGGCCGTCAGGTTATTAATAAAAGGGTGGTCATTTGGCCTTCTCTCTTAGACCAAAGGCCCCTAATGGCGGTGGGGTCATAGTTTATTTATCCTCTGAAGAGGAGGTGTTCCTGAGGGCTGGCAATCAACTCAGTTTGGTTAACACAACGGGAGGTGTGGGTTATATTAAAATGAAGGTCTTGGGATACGTGACTTAGGTCACTCAAATCTTGATCAAAGAGACATCCATTTCCATATCACCTGTCTTGATGATAGGGAGAATCAACCTTACCCCAGGCTTGTCTAAGCAAACACAAAGAGCAGGAATATACCCATTAGCCCATACTTAGAATTTCTTTTTCTGTCTGATGAGATCTTGGGCTGGTTAAATCTCTAAGAGAGATTTCCTCCATTGATTGGGTTCTGGATAAGGAAGTACAAAAGGGTAAAAATCTTGGTCCTAATATTATAATTAATTATTTAATATAAGAGAGAAATATTCATTTCTTGCATCCCACATTTTACAGCTGAGGAAACTGAGGCTGTGTCCAAGGTCACACAGGTGGTAAGTAGTAAAGCCAGGATTTGATCCCAGATCCACTAGTATTCTTTCCACTCTGCCATACTGCCTCCATTGTCATAGGAAGGATTCTTTTTCAGGGGTGGTTTGGATTAGATGGCCACTGAAGACTCTTTCAACTCTGAAATTCTGTGATTCTGTGACTGGACACAAAATTTAGTTACTACTGTGTAGGTGTCAAGTGGAAAGAGAAATCTCTAGTGGAGTAGCCCAGAGATTAGCCTGTGGCACTTGGAGGCTCATGATTTTTAGTCACTGCATTGGATGAATGAATTGATATCATGTTTGTCTAATTTGAAGATCACCCAAAGCTGGGAGGGATAGTGAACACTTTTAATTGTTGTCGTTTAATTGTTCAGCCATACACATTATCCCATTTGGAGTTTTCTTGGCACAGATACTGGAATAGTTTGTCATTTCCTTTCCCTGATCATTTTACAGATGAGTATATTGAGGCAAACAGAGTTAAATGACTTGCCCAGAATTACCTAGCTAGTAAATGTCTGAGGCTGGATTTGAGCTCAGGAAGATGAGTCTTCCTGACCCTAAGCCTGGCATTCTACCCACTACACCATCTAGCTACCAAGTATGGACTAGATGCATCTAATTCCTCCTCCAACTCCAAATCCTCTAGTCCTATAAAACAAGGGACAGAACAGGGTTCAGCCTTGTGTCCACTAGAGAGAAAGTGTTTATTATTACAGATCCTGGGACAAAAGGCTCCAAGTCCATCTTTCCAGATTAATAGGATCTGCAGGGCTTGGGTTCAACTCACAGAGGCTTTGAGAACCCAGGATCACTTACATACCATTACGAGGCATTCCAGAAAGGTTTTACTGGAAGAATTATTATCATAACAATTATTTTATTATTATTAGCTGTAATAGTAGTCATCACATCTAATTATGGTAATAGCATACTGTTCCCACAATAAAACTACAGGGGAGATTTAGTGGTCTAGCAAAAAGTTTCCTAGGCTTAGAGTCAGAAAGAGTCAGGTTCAATTCTGGGCTCTGCCACTTACTAGCTGTGTCACTTAACCACAAAGAGCCTCAGTTTTTTTAAACTTTAAAATGGGAATAATAATATGCATTGTATCTAGTTCATAGTACTTTGTAGAAAGTGCTTCATAAAATGCTATGTACTTTCGCTGGGATACAAATTATACTAGCTGAGGTCCTTTGAGGTCCTTTCCAATGCTGAAATTCTATGATTTTAGGGAGATAGTACAAATATTTGTATCCCCATTTTATATGACTGAGGAAATTGAGATTCTGAGAGGTAAAGAGATTTGTCAGTAGTCACACAGCAAGCAATTGACAAATCTAGGAATCAAACCAAGGTTTTTCAATTCCAGAGCCGTGATTAGAGTGAGGTCAATGACACTTTGCCACAAAACAGAAAATTCATAGGGTAGACTCATCCTGGAGGTGCTTATTCTCCCTTCAACAGCTTAGAAACCTCAGGATTTCCTGGGGTATGAATCCCTGACTCTCACTCTTTTTTTTTTTTTTTTTTTTTTGAGGCAAACAGGGTTAAGTGACTTTCCCAGGGTCACACAGCTAGTACGTGTCTAAGACTGGATTTGGATTCAGGTCCTCCTGACTCCAGGGCTAGTGCTCTATTCACTACCTACCCCCTAGTCAAGTGTTCTTTTCACCTATTGGAGACCAAACACCCTCTATGGTACCTTTATCTCCTAACCTGATGAGTCTAAGATCCTCTTTCCACTATACCACAGTGACTTCCCTGCTAAGAACCATGCCCCATTAGTGGTGGTGGTTCCTGTCTGTGTATTTGCAGAAATGGTTGGTGTAGGCTGTGTCCTAGATGGGGTGAGGTACAGGAATGGCCAGTCTTTTCAGCCCAACTGCAAGTTCAACTGTACTTGCATCAATGGGGCTGTGGGCTGCATTCCACTCTGCACCAACTCTCGCCCACCACGTCTCTGGTGCCCCAATCCTAAGAGGATCAAGATGGCGGGCAGATGCTGTGAGCAGTGGATCTGTGAAGATTCAAAGAAACCTCGGAAGACCTTGCCACGACACATCTCTCCCTCAGGTAAGGGCAGGGGAAAGGAGAGGTTCCTGGCCCTGGGGTGGACAGGCTGGGAAGAATTTGGACTTCCATTTTAACTCTAACAATGAGTTTGTGCAATGATGTGGTGTTTGCTAGACAACCAATCACTCAATTAAAAAAGTAGGAAAATTATTGAGGGTCTGCAATGTGATTAGCATTCTACCCATCCATTGCTGTATGGGATACAAAGAAAATTAAAGCAAGATTGCTATCTTCCCAAAGTTTACAATATATTAGAGAAGAGAATGATGAGAAACACTGTGGGGTGGAGGATACAGAGCTGACATTGGAAGCAAGGATGGCAAAGTTCAAGTCCTTTCTCTGATACAAATTAGCAATGAGATCATCACTTAATCTCTCAGTGCCTCAGGCAACTCAAAAATTATAAATTACAGATGAGTTGTGGATCAATATTAGTGGAGGGAATTTCCATGCCAAGAATTCCCCACGTGGATGAATTCATGAGTGCATACGTCTCCTCCCCCCCTTCAAAAATATCATACTGCTGATAGTACCAGAAGGGGTATTAGAGGTCATCTAGTCTGACCACTAGTTTTACTGATTAAAAAAATTGATTGCCACAGAAATTAAATGGCCTGTTCAAGGACTTATAACAAGGTGGCAGCAGAGCAGAGATAAGAACAGAGAATCACAGGATTTAGGGAAATCATCTCATCTAAACTCCCTATGAAGGAGAAGACCTATAATTCGAACTCAAGTCCTCTGATTTGAGTCCAATGCTCTTCCTACCCCATCATATGATGCTAGGTCTTCTGAGTTGGAGCTCAGCATACTTAGTGCTACAATTCAATTCAATTCAATAAACCTTTATTAAGCATCTACTATGTAACAGGCACTATGTTAAGCATTGGGGATACAAAAAGAGGCAAAAGATAATCCCTGCCCTCAAAGAATTCACAATCTAATGGAAGAGGGTGCAATATGCAAACAAATATATACAAAATAATCAATGTACAAGATAAACAGGAAATAATTAACAGAAGGAAGGCACTGGAATTAAGAGGGGTTGGGAAGGCTTCCTGTAAGAGGAGAGATTTTAGTTGAGACTTAAAGGAAGCCAGGGAGGTGGAACATTCCAGGCACAGGGGACAGCCAGAGAGAATGCCCAAAGCCAAGAGATGGAGTGTCTTGTTCATGGAACAGCCAGGAGGCCAGTGTCACTGAATCAGAGATGATGGTAGAGATGCCAGGCAGTACGATGGCATGGATCAAGCAATAAACCAAGTATTTATTAAATGTCTGCAATGTGCTAGGCACTGTGCCAGGTACAAAGAAAGAACCACTCACAATTAGCTTATTCTAATGTCACTTTAAAGTTTACAGAGTGTTTTCCCCAAAACAACCCTATGATATAAATTATATCAGTGATATAAATGTCCTTATTGCCATTTTTATAGCTAAGGAAACAGTCAGAGTAATGAAGTGATTTTCTCATGGTCCCATAACCAGATCAGAGACTTGAGCCCAGGTCTCCTGACTGCCAGGACAGCACCAAACCTTTTCTCAGTAACTATTCCAAGGGCCAATCACATCCTGTTTCTGCAAAAATAAGCAAAAAAGAAACCATTGTGTACCACACACAAATCTCCAGGAAAAGCAAGGTAAGTGAGGTAAGCTGCAACAGATCTCTGCCAAGCCCGTGGTTCCATGACTGGGGGATCTGTGTGGTGGTGGAATGGGGGATGCTGCTCTGGAGACTGGCTAGAAAACCAATAACACGTGCTCTAGTGGCAAGCACTTGGTTGTTGTAGATCCAGGGCCATGGTGACCTAGAAACAAAACAAAAATCAATGTATCCTATGAATCAAACCAATTGCTTCAGGGCTGCTGAGCTCAGTGGTTCAATCTCTCTCTCTCTGTGTCTCTCTCTTTCTGTCTCTGTCTCTGTCTCTGTCTCTCTCTCTCTCTCTTACACGCACACACACATACACACACCCACCACAGCACATGCACAGATCCTTCCCTTTTCGTTTTTCTCACTTTTATCTTTATGATCTTTTTTCTTTCCTCCTTTAAAAAACACTTCCTTGTTTTTCTCTCTTCCTTGTTCCCCATCCTCAGAGATATTAACTCTTAGAGATCACCTAGACCAACCCTATCATTTCATAGATGAAGAAAAGGAGACCTAGAGAAATGAAGTAGATTTCCTAATGTGGCCTCTTGGGTTCACACTTTTATCAGTCAACCACAAGAAACATTAATTCAAACAAAAGATATTTAATCAAGCAACATGGCAGATAAAATGCCAAAAGAAAATTCCCCCATGAATCCATGAAGAACATTCTCTTACATGCTTCCAAGGTGCCAGTGGGGAGGACACATCCACAGAACATGCATGTGATCAGGGAACTACCCCAAAGGGCACATTTGTAGGGAAAACATGAATCCAGGGAACATGTGCAGAAGGGAATGCATGGAATAAGAGTACATATGTGATGATGCATATGGCCTGGGCATTCACATGGCAAGGGAGACTCTTAATTCTGTTATTCCATGAATACTGATATATTCTCCTGATGTCAAATCCAGCTTCAGACACTTACTAGCTGAGCAAGTCACTTAACCTTACGTCTGCTTCAGTCTCCTCATCTGTAAAATGGGGATAATAATAGCAACCTACCTCCCAGCATTGTTGTGATGATAACATGAAGTAATAGTTACAAAGCATTTCACAAACCTTAAAATACCCTTATACATTAGTCATGATGATGATGACAATGATGGCAGTATCATCAATCTGTTCTCTGCTAAGCATTGTATTTCTTTTCTGCCCTAGGGATGTTGTAGTTTTATTGGTCTGGTGGTCAACGCTGGGCAAGTTATATCTCTGCTAAAGATAATTCCGTTAATCATAGTCAGCCTTTAGCATTGCTTCAAGCTACCAACTTTTGAGATATATCTCCACAGGGTCACCAGCTAGGCAACCAGGCTCCTGTCCTCTAGGGTATGGTGATCAGAATGTTTCTCCTTGATCAAGGCAAGAGGACAGTTCCTAGCCAGAAGCTACGAGCCATCACATCCTTCTAAGGGGGCTTCAGAACAAAAGTCAGGTAGAACACTTCCAGGTTAAAATTTTCTTGTCTTTTAATTCAGAGTCTGGGTCGAGCTATAGTCAAATCCCTTTTAATTGAGGGATAACAAGTACAACACTTTTTTCTTCCTACTGTTTTCTAACTAGCAGGCTATCTCTCCCTATTGTCTCCCACAGATACAAAGGAAGATGTACTCATATTTTATGCAGTTCCTAAGCCAAAGGTTTCCAAACACCTGATCTCTTATGCCGTGCTTAATGCTCTTTCAAAACATTCTCATGTCTCTCACCTCATTTGATGCTTGCGAAAAGCCTATGGGTGTAGGCAGGAGATGCATATGCTACCCATAATAAAGATAGCTGAGGCCCCGAAAGGGCTTACCCAGGACCACATAGCTAGTGGGAGTCATAGCCAAGTCTAGACAATGGAATATTAGAGCTAGAGGGAACCTTAGAAATCATCTAATCATGCCCACCCATTTTAAAGATGAGGAAACTGAAGTCCAGTGAGGGCACCCAGTTAGTGACAGGGTTGGGACTTTAGTGCATTGTTCTTTCTACTTTTTGTTGTTATTGTTCATTTGTGTCCAACTTTTTGTGACCTCCATTTGGGGTTTTCTTGGCAAAGATACTGGAATGGTTTGCCATTTCCTTCTCCAGATCATTTTACAGATGAAGAAACTGAGGCAAACAGGGTGAAGTGACTTGCTTAGGGCAACACAGCCAGTAAGTGTCTGAGGCCAGATTTGAACTCAGAGAGACGAATCTTTCTGACTCCAGACCCAGCCCTCTATGCACTGTGGCACCACTTGGCTGGCCCTTCTTACTACTAACATTCTGCTACTTCCCCTGCTTTCAGACTAGTATTCATTTCATTTGCTCAATGCTGCCCCCTAGCTCTCAAGTTCACCCTTGTAGCTTCAAAATTTAGTCTTCCTCTGGGATGGACCAAAGAAGTTACCTGGGAAGATCAGGCCAATTTGCAATTGTTTGCAGAGATGGGGAAAAGGGCATCCCTGGACCCTATGACCCTGTTTTTGACCCTTTCCTCTTTTTTCTTTACACTCTCTCACTTTGTGACCTCATCAACTATCATGTGTTCCATTATCATGCAGATTAACTCCCAATTTTATATATCTAGCTCTAGTCTCTGTCTTTCACCCTGGTCCCACATCACCAACTTACTTATTGGATATTTCCATCTGGATGTTCTATAAGCATCTCAAAGTCAACGTGTCATATCTAAAATTGAACTCATCTTCTCTCTACCCCAACCCCAAATCTACTCCTTTTGGAACTTCCATATTAATATCCAGAACATCATCATTCTTTGAGTCTCTCAGGCTTGAAACCTTAATGTCATCCTCATCTCCTCACTCCCCCTCATATCAAATCAGTTGCCAGATCTTGCTGTTACTATTTTCACAATATCTTCGGAATATGGTACCTTCTCCCCTTTCACACAGTTACCACTCTAGTTATAGTCATCATCACCTGGATTATTGCAATGGCCACCTATTGGGTCTGCCTGCCTCCAATTCCTCCTCACACCAATCCATCCTCCACATAGCCATCAAAACCACTTTCTTACGGCACCGGTCTGACCGTGTTACTACTCTACTCCATAAACTTCTGTGGCTTCTTATTGGGTCTAGGATCCATTGTAAACCATTCTATTTGGCATTTAACACTCTTTACAATTTGACACTCTCCTACCTCTCCAGTCTTCTTTTGTCCTTTAAGGTATAGCTATACTGGCCGCTCATTGTTTTTTGCATGCACTGTTCCATCTCTTGCCTCTGTGCCTATAGTTGACCCTCACATCATGCCTGGAGTGCCCACCTCCTTATCTCTACCTCTTAGAATCCCTAGCTTTCTTTGAAACTCAACTAAAGCACATCCTCCATGTGAATCCAATTTAACAGTAGGCAGTTAGGTGGTGCAGTGGATAGAGCACTGAGCCTAGAGTCAGGATAGACCTAAGTTCAAATCCAGCCTCACTTACTTACTAGCTATGTGACTCTTGGGCAAGTCACTTAACCTCAGTTTGCTCCTATATAAAATGGAGAAAATAATAGCACCTACTTCCCAGGGTTGTTATGAGGATCAAAAAACGTGAGATAATTATGTAGTATTCAGCCCAGTGTCTGACACATAGTGATCATTACATAAATGTTAGCTATTATTATTGTGAAGCCTTTTCTGATTCACTTAGCTGCTAGCGCCTTCTCATCCAAGGTTCTTTTGTGTTAGCTTTCATATACTTATTTACATACATATCATCTCTCCTACTAGAATGTAAACTCCTTGAGGGCAGGCTGTTTTATTTTGTCTTCACATCCCTAAAGACTAGCATAATACCTATATATAGTAGGTGCTTAATAAATGCTTGTTGCTTGGTTGAAATAAGGGATCTGTGCCTAACAGCTGAGGACCAAGCATAGCTCTCTTTGCAATACTTTTTTTCTGAGCTTATGAGGATTTTTTCCCCCAGCCCAGGGATGAGGAAGTTAGAGAACAGGAAAGGAGATTAGAGATAAAACATGGATTTAGTGGTCATTGACAGGCAGTATTGTACAATGGAAAGAACACCGTCTTTGTAGTCAGAGGATCTGGATTCAAATTCTGCTTCTTTCATTTCCAACCTTTGTAACTTTGGGCAAGTTTCTTAACCTCTCTGGGTCTCAGTTTCCTCATCTGAAAAATAAGGGAGTTGTGGAAAGACCTGTATGAACTGAGTAGAACTGGAAGAACTATTTACATAGTGACCACCATAGAGTAAAAGAAAATAACTTTGAAAAACTTCAAAGCTCTGATCAGTTCGATAACTAAACATGTCTTCAGAAAACTGATGATGAGTGGACTTCCCACATCTCAGCAGAGGTGACAGACTAGAGGTATCAAAAGAGACATATGTTTCAAAACACAGCCAATGTACTGTCTTGCCTGATTCTACTTACCGGGTACAAGAGAGTGCTCCTATTGGAGTGGGAGAGGCAGAGAGTTTAGATAATGAAGAAGGAGTAGGAGGAGGAGAAGGAGGAGAAGAAGAAGGAGGAGGAGAAGAAGAAGAAGGAGAAGAAGGAGAAGGAGGAGAAGGAGAAGGAGAAAAAGGAAGAGGAGAAGGAGAAGAAGGAGGAGAAGAAGAAGAAGAAGAAGAAGAAGAAGAAGAAGAAAAAGAAGAAGAAGAAGAAAAAGAAGAAGAAGAAGAAGAAGAAGAAGAAGAAGAAGAAACAGAAACTTTTTTTTAAAAGCACAAAAGACAGCAGAAGGAAGTTCAGAAGAAAACAGAGACCAGCAGGGTATTTTTGTCACTTGTGTTAAATTTAATATGAATTTAAAAATCTTTTTAACAGAAGTTCTCAGTTTTACAAACAAACTTTTTTTCCTCTTCTTTGTATATTGAAATATTCATGTTTATTATATTCATAATAAAAGAGAATATTTAGATAACTGGATAGATAGGTAAAGGTGATGGAGATGATAGATTAGATGGATAATAGACAGATAGATAGATAAAATAAAGTGAGAGGGTTGGCTTCATTGGTCTCTAAGGTGCATTCCATCTCTAAATCTACGATACTATGATCTTGTCATTCACAGCTTCTGAAGGAGACATTGAGTCATGGCAGAAAAACTGTATTGTCCACACATCTTCCTGGAGCCCCTGTTCTAGAAGCTGTGGGATGGGAATCTCTGTCAGAATCTCCAACAACAATGAGCAATGCCAATTGTCAAAGGAGAGTCGCCTGTGTAACGTGAGACCCTGTGAGGTGAACATCACCCAACACATCAAGGTAGGAGCTACTTTCCCATAAGATTGAATGTTCTCTCAACATGTGGTCTGGCTGTATTGAAGAATCTCAAATTAACTCTACAAGTCATCTGTTTTATCCTTGAACACCTGCAGTGGCAGGAAACTCACTACCTCACAAAAAAAAGCCCATTCTATTATTAGATGATTTTACTTGTTAGAAAAAGCATATTGTAGTTCATGGCACATGTAAATTTTTATTCATTCATTAGAAATTTGTTTCTCATATTGGGCTAAAATCAACCTCTATTTAACTCTTCCCTCTTCCTCCTTCCTTTCTTAGTTCAATCAATCAACAAACATTTATTAAGCACCTCCTATGAGCTAGGCCTGTGCTAAGTACAGCACTGGGAATACAAAAACAGGTCAAAGACAATCCCTGCCCTCAAGAAGTTTAATTTCATTTTTTTGTGATTAAATTCTGGCTCTTATATTAGTTATCTGACCTTAGGCAAACCACTTCATTTTTATGGGACTCAGTTTCCTCATCTATAAACTTGTGATCTGTAATGTTCTTTTACAGTTAACCCAACTGTACTGCTTGCCATCCCCTGATTTCACCTAGCCCTTTCCTATATCTCTGTCTTTGCTTAAGTTCTTATGATATGGTTTTAGGGGTACAGGAACCCCAAAACTATTGAGGTACAGAGCAGAGTCATCTGGAAAGAATTCACAGACTCAAGCAGTCTTCCAGTCAAGTGCCAACAAGTTTATTATAACACTAATAAAGCAGGTGGAGCTTCTTAGGGAAATCACAACTTAATGGGGGTGAATCTAAAGTTTATACAGAAAAAGTACAGTGAATGGTGTGCCAAATATGCTAATTAGGTGGTCCAGGGTGGGATCAAGGAGTGGTTGGCTCCCAAAGGAACATACAGTCTCTGTACATTGGGCACAGGCTTCACTCACTACTGGCATCTCTGTCCTATTTGTACAAGATGGCCTCGGGAGTTGACCTCTATAGCTTGACCTCTGGATTGTATATGGTAATTGTGGGAACGAGTACATGATAGTTCTGCTAGTACAAGATAGTCCTGTTTATACAAGGGAAATTCTACAGAGGTCAGCTTGTTCTTGTAACAGGGAAAAATAGTTTGTCTCACTGGGGCCCACTCATGAGTTATTGACAGAGATATGGTCCTAGGGCTGGGGTCCAAGCACCCCATCACTTGGTTCCTAGGAATGGACTTCTCTCTCCTCTTTCTGCTGTTAATAATCCCTCCTTTCCTTCAAGATCTAGTTCAAATGTCACCCTCTCCATGAACTCTTCCATAACATTCCCCAGATGAAAAAGTGATGTCTCTTTCCTTAAATTTCTTTTAGCACTTTGCCTAGACCTCTCCTCCACCTTGATTGCACTCTCTTTAGGATCACAGCAGGAGTATGCTGGTAAATGTCTAACAACCAACTTTCCAGGGGAAAAAAAAAGGATGCATAACACATTTAATCTGCATTATTAACATTTCATCCAGCATTTTCTTAAATCTAGATAATCAAAAACAATCAAGCCCTGATTTGTAAACCTTACTGGTTTCTGAGGTGTAAATATTCACACTGAAAATTTAATAATCAGTCCAAACCCCCCAGAGCTGACTCCAGCACATCTCTGAATTAGTCAGTTTGGTAAGATCCTCACTTTGCTCACTACCACCTCTGCCCCCTTTTCCCATCACTCTTTCACCATCTCCATGGAAGCAGAAAGGGATCTCATAAGACTGAGTTTGTTTTTTATATTTTTCTTTGTTTTATGGGTTGTTGTTTGTTGTTGTTATTGAGTCATTGCAGTCCTGTTCAACTTCCGGGACCAGAAAGGAAAAAAAAAAAGTCATCACCAATTATTGAGTACTTTAAAAAAAAATTGTGATTGTATTTTAAAACAAATGTATTTACTTATTTTTATATGCAGTTATAATCTATTCCTCCCTCTGCCACCACCCTCCACTAGAAAAAAAAATCCTCATCATGAAATGCATAGTTAAGCAAAACAAATTCCCACATTGGCTATGCCCAAAAATATATGTGTCTCTCTTTGAATTTCAAGTTCATCACCTCTGGCAGGAGGTGAGTTGTCTAGACTACTTATCATAAGTATCTCTATACTTAGCTGGTCGAGTCCTCGGGGGAAAAAAATAAAGTCTATTGCCAGGAAAGAATAGCCTTTCCACTCTGGCAGAACCCTTGAGAGCTTGTGTTCTGTGGGAATAGCCTTGGAGAATACATGATCAACACTCTTCTCCCACCCCACCCCCACCACACACAAACACTCTCTACACTCTCTCTCTCTCTCTCTCCTTCAATCCGTAGCCACTTTGATAAATGGAATATCACTAAATACATGTGTTAAACTGAACAGAGTGGTTCCATTGAGTAAGCTTTCTGGTCCCTCCAGCCCAGCTTTATGTCTCTGATGAGGGCATCAAATGATACGTTACTGGAGGAGATTGGGGTGTTACCTGCTCTGGAGGTCTTTGAGCACCTGGTTACTTGGTCCCTCTTTGATGGCTTGTCTCACAATGAGGCAATAGATATGTACCTGCATTTTTATCCACAGTATGGCTATAGAAAGACAGAGGTAAGGAAAAGAATAAGAAAAAGAAAAATTAAATTTTAAAAGGGTGATATATGGAAAAGGGATGAGGAAGAGCCAAGATTTTAGAACTGAATCAAGTATTAACTCACTGTGGGACCTTGAGCATATCACTTCCTGGTTTTGGGGATCAGTCAGTAAACAAACATTTATTAAGTACTTTCTGTGTTGTAGACCAGGGGTGAGGGAACCTGCAGCCTCAAGACCACATGTGGCCCTCTAGGTCCTCAAGTGCAACCCTTTGCCTGAATCCTAGAGGCCGTAGGTGCCCACCCCTGCTCCAGATGCTGAGGATACAAAGGATGAGAAAAAAAACAGTATCTCCTCTCAAGAAGCTCACATTCTAATGGGGGTGACGATGTAAATAACTGGATATGTACAAGATGTATAGAGATTAGATGGAAGGCAATCTGAGAAGGGAAGGCACTAGCATCTGGGGGAAGAAACAGTCATTTTCTTCATTTGCAAAATGAGGAAAGATCGACTAAGGCAATTTCTAAAGTTCATTCAGGGTTTACCATTCTAGAATCCTTGTTCTAACTTTCTTTATTCTAAGGATGCTTTCAGCTTTAACATTCTGTGTTTTAATAGTCTTTGTTCTAAGGTCACTTCATGCTACCAAGTTCTGTGTTCTAGCATTCTGTGTTCTAACATTACAAATTCTAAAGTCTCTTCCTGCTCTAACAACGTGTCCTAATAGTCTGTGTTCTAAAGTCACTCACAGCTAAAAAGTGCTGTGTTCTAGAATTCTGTGTTCTAAGTTACAAGTTCTAAAGTCTCTTCCTGCTCTAACATTCTGTGTCCTAATAGTCTACATTCTAAGATCTTTTCCAGCTCTTTCTGTCTTCTAACATACTATGTTCTAACATTTTAAGTTCTAAAGTCTCTCCCAACTTTAACATTCTATGTTCTGAGTCTCCTCTCTGTTCTAACATTCTGTATATTAGAGTCCCTCTTGGTAACTTAAGTTAAAAGGAAGTGGCCAAAGGCTTAGATAAAAGAAGGTAGAGAGTCAACCAAAGAGTACTTACTCTTAAGACCAAACTAAATAAATCTCACTTTCTTCTCCTCTAGCCAGGGAAGAAGTGCTTGGCTGTGTATCAACCAGAGCTTCCAGTGAACTTAACCATCTCTGGCTGCGTGAGCACCGACAGCTACAGGCCTAAGTACTGTGGAAGCTGCACAGATAATAGGTGCTGCACCCCCTACAAGTCCAAGACCATTGTTGTGAATTTCCAGTGTCCCGATGGCCCAGGCTTCTCCTGGAAACTGATGTGGATCAATGCTTGCTTTTGCAGCCTGAGCTGCAGGAACCCCAATGACATCTTTGCAGACCTAGAACAATACCATGATTATACAGAAATAGCCAACTAGGTAGACAAAAGATTAGAGAGGCCTCAAGACCCAAGAGGATGACATTTCATGAGGTAAAAGGCAACATAGTCTTATAATCTCATTCTCTTCCCCACTGACAGATTTCTTAACCTTCAGAGGCTGCTGCAAGATGCCTGTTGATCCAAAGAGGTTGGGTTCTCTCATCTAGATCCTAGCTGAACACCACTTTCTGACTTAACCCTTAAGTCAAGAAAACTCTCTTTATCTAGCATTTGGTGCTATTTGCAGAAAAGGCTCAAATGCCTCAAATAGGCAAACCTTAAAATGCTATCTACAGCTAACTATTATTAAAAGGACAATGTGGTTACTGTTTATTTCATAGTTATCTTACAGTCATTTATAATGTAGGAAAATGTAGTCACTCCTAACAGGCTTTGCCTTCCACTTCCGAAGGGCTGGGGAGGTGGGGTAGGGTAAAGATAATGTGACATGCTATTTTTCCACTTCTAGTCCTTTCCCTGCAAAAACATCCATCAGATATCTTTATATTTAATTTCCTCTTTGCCTAAGACTTAAATGAATGGGTCTGCCCTTCAGAAAACCCAGCTGGCAAAAAGCCAAGCATGTTTAGCTGATCAATTAAGAGCATTTTTGACCTCATAGATAAATAAACTCTTGGCATGGTCCCTTTAACCAGATCTCCCAGTTCATTATGTCTTCTGCAGATAACTCAAGGTCTAGTCTAGACTGTAGCCTGGTAGTAGAGGAAGAAGTAAGGACACAGGATTTGGGGTCAAGTTCAAATCCTTTCCCTTACTATCTATATGACCTTGGACAAGTTGCAAATTCTCTGAGCCATAGTTTCATCTGTAAAATGGGGATAATAATCCCTGCCCTGTCTATCTCACAGGACTTTTGTGCAGATCAAACAGAATCATGATAAAGCTGTAAGGTGCTATATAAATGTGAGCTATTATTAGTTATAACAACAAAAGACATGTTCTGCTGTCTGGGTCATGTCTTTAGTGAACTGGAATACAGTGAGGTATCAACTCTCCCCAGGACAAAGAGTTTGAGAAATTCCTGGCTAATGCTTCTAGGCTCCTCCATATTATTTTTATCAGTGCTTCCAGATACTTTCTCCATGACCCTCCTTATGACCTTGCCTTGAGAGCCAAATGGAAATGATACCCTACTACACACCTTGAAAAACTCAAGAAGGAAACATGGGGCAGTGAGATATCTGCTTTCTGCTAATTAATGGGCACAGATGTCATTCAATCCTATCAGAAATATCAAGTTAAATGCAAAACTTACATAAAAGTCTAAAGAAGACTAATACGATTGACCATTCTTGGTTAAGAGCTGGTGGTACCATATCCCGCTCCTACAGAGGCAAAAGCCTAGTACTAGTTAGGAATGGTAATCTCTGATCCAGGTCCATAGGATTTCAACTCTAGCCCATGGTGATACCATATTGGGTACCATTATTAGATTTCTGTAAGTCATGTGACTCGCTGTGGCTTCCGTCCATGCATGAATGTCATCTGTGTGTATCCTGGAGAACAAGAATCTCTGGAGAACTCCCAACAGTCTTGTGTCTGTGTTGTAGGAATAGACTGGGTGGGATGGCTGGTGAAGGCAAAAGAAACTAGATTGCTTCGGTTTTGTCATTTATAATCTTATTCATTTCATCAGTGTTATTACTCTGTATGTGGTAAGAAAAGTGATGTAGTTCAGAAACATTATGTCAAATTGTATCTCTGATTTTTTCTAAAAGGTTTCTAGTTGAACAGAATTGTGTTAACAGTGCCTTGCTTAATTATTCATGAAAATCATTTAACTAATGTTGTAATGGCCGATTGCATATCTTTGTCTATATGTATGTATGTCTATGTGTATATATATATAATTTTCAAACTGTGACTTAATATTTAATCTTACAGAGGTATTTTTGTAAAGGATATTTTTAAAGTATAGAAAAATTTATCAGGATTTACAAATAGTGGGCAAAATAAGGTCAGGACACCCATGTTTCATGATGTTGTCCATTATTCATCATTGTACAGTCCTTCTGAACCCAAAGTGGAAGATTTTTGTTACTTCAGTTCTGAGTTTGTGACTTTTCTCCTGAAAAATAATAAATCACCAGCAAAATGACCAATGGCCCAGTACAAAGTGTTTCATTTGGGCTTCTAGAGTCAAATATAAAATAAAAATCTCAAACTGAGTATTAAACAAAAATATGGTTAAAAAAAAATTACCAACTATGACTTAACGTATCTGCCTGTTAGTGATTTCCTCAACTCTTCACTTTTTCTCAAACCACACCCCCATATCGAATCTGTTGCCAGGATCTTTCGATTTTACCTATGTAACATCTCTCAAAATATGCCCCCTTCTCTCTGATGATACTTCTACCACCCTAATGCAGGCCCTCATCACTTCACAACTGGACTATTGCACACTGCTGGTGTGTCTACCCGCCCCAAATCTCTTCCCACTCCAATCCATCCTCCAATATCAACGTGATTTTCCTAGCACACAGGTCTGACCATGTCACACCTCCTATCCCCTACTCAAAAATTCCAGTGACTCCTTATCATTTCCAGGATTAAATATAAATTCCTCTGTTTGGCAATCAAAGTCTTTTATTCATTCAAAGTCTTCTTACAACTTACCATCCATTCATGTCCTCTTCAATCTACTGACTCTGGCATCCTAGCTGCTCTTCAAACAAAACACTCCATCCCTTATTTCTGGGCATTTTCTCTGGCTGTGCCCCATGTCTGGAATGCTCTCCTTCCTCATCTCTGCCCCCTGGCTTTCCTGACTTCCTTCAAGTCCCAGCTAAAATTCTACTTTCTATAGGAAGCCTTTCCCAAGCCCTCTTAATTCTAGTGTCTTCCCTCTCTTAGCTGTCTCCTATTTATCCTGAATACGGCTGGTTTTTATATATTTGTTTACTTGTCTTCTCTCCTATTAGATGATGAGCTCTTCAAGGACAGGGGCTGTCTTTTGCCTTTCTTTGTATCCCCAGCACTTAGCACAATGTCTCCCACATAACAGCTGATTCATAAATGTTTGTTGACCAGTTGACTGATTGAATAAATCTTAGAGGAAAATTGAGGAAGTGTAAAGATCACTGTATTTAGAGCCAAAGGACATTTGGTCAAAACTGCTCCATGCTTCCCGTCTGACCTCAGAAAAGTGACCTGACTTCTCCAGGCCTCGATTTTCTCATCTAGGAAATGAGGCATTAAAGGAGGTAACCTGTCGCCACATTCATTCTAGCTCTAAATACCACCATGATGAAAATCAGTCTCATTAGGTTGTTTTTCAGTTGTGTTCAACTCTTCGTGACCCCATCTGGGGTTTTCTTGGCAAAGATACTGGAGTGGTTTGCCATTTCCTTCTCCAGCTCATTTTATAGATGAGGAAACTGAGGCAAACAGGGTTAAGTGACTTGCCCAGGGTTACAGAGCTAGGAAGCATCTGAAGTGTGTCCTGAGAGGTATATATTATTGTAATCCTCATTTCACACTGAGACTGACCGAGGTTAAGTGATTTGCCCAGGATCACACCAACTAGTAAATGTCTGAAGTCAGGTTATATAAGGTTATATATATATATATATATATAATATAAGGAAGACATTTTCTAATAATTGGAGTCATTCTAAAATGGAATAAGGTGTCTCATTAAGTAATGAGCTCCCTATCACTGAAAGTATTTGAACAACAACAATAATAATAACAAGAAGGAAGAGGAGGCTAAGAGGGATATATATATATATATGTATACATATATATATGTATACATATATATATATATCACATCAGCTAGTCTGAAGTCAGGTTTTATATATATATATATATAAGGAAGAAGTTTTCTAATAATTGGAGTCATTCTAAAATGGAATAAGGTGTCTCATTAAGTAGTGAGCTCCCTATCACTGAAAGTATTTGAAAAACAACAATAATAATAACAAGAAGGAGGAGGAGGCTAAGAGGGATATATATACATATATATATATATACATATATATGTATATATATATATATCACACCAGCTAGTAAATGTCTGAAGTCAGGTGTTACATATATATATATAATATAAGGAAGACGTTTTCTAATAATTGGAGTCATTCTAAAATGGAATAAGGTGTCTCATTAAGTAGTGAGCTCCCTATCACTGAAAGTATTTGAACAACAACAACAACAATAATAATAATAACAAGAAGGAAGAGGAGGCTAAGAGGGAAGGAGAAGAGCAGGAGGGGTAAAAGGGAGGAGGGGGAGAAGAGGGAAAGGGGAGGAGGGGAGGAGAGGAGGAGGAGGAAGAAGAGGAAGGGATAAAGGGAAAGGAAAAAGAGAAGAGGAGGAGGGGAGGAGGAAAAGAAAGGGAGAGGGAAAAGAGAAAGGAGAAAGGAAGAAGGAGGAAGAGAAAAAAGGGGAAGGGGCAAGAAGAAGAAGGGGAGGGAGAGAGAAGAAGGAAGAGGAGAAGGATAAAAGGGAAGGAGGAGAAGGGGAAGGAGGAGGAGGAGAAGGAGGAGAAGCATTAGCATCTACACATCCCATTAAGGTTTGCAAAGCACTTCAATATATTATCTCATCTCTCACAGTAACCCTGGGAAGTGTGTGCTATTATTATCTCTGTTTTACAGGTGATAAAACTGAGTCACAGAGAGGTTAAGTGACTTGCCTAGGATAACATGACTAGTCTGAGGCAGGATTTGAACTCAGGACTCCACCACCCCAAGTCCCACACTATCACCACTGTGCCACTGTGCCACCTAATTGCCTAATAAATATATAAACCTAAATAAATTTGACGGAGTGAGACTGTAAGATCCCTTCTGATTCTAGCATTCTATGTTGTAAAGGTCTCTTCTATTTTTTTTCTAACTTTTTAAAAGGTCTCTTTTATCCCTAACATTCTAGATTCTAAGGTCTTTTTCAGTTCTAGCAATCTATATTGTATAAAGACACCTCTGGTTTTAGGTCCCTTCCAATTCAAATATTCTATTAATAATTAAATGGGTTACTAAGGGAAGCCCTACAGAGAGGGGAGAGGGCTGGAGAAGGAGAGTGAACACAGTGTCTGATACTTCCCTAAAACCCTGGATGTCCCCCGCTTAAATCTTGGTTTAATCAGTGAGGTCAAACATAAATCCTGTATTTGGCTCATAGAAAGGATTTGTAAAACCGCACCCAGCCCAGAGTAACAGCTGTTACAAGATTTAAAGCGTTCCAGATCAGAGTATATCTTCTGATGACCAGGGAAGCACAAATACCCACAAACAAATAAAGGTAGGAAAAGGGGACACAGTTGGTACAAATGGAATATCTTCAAACAAAACCTGATTTCCATACCTCTACCCTGGGCTGACCTGCTGTATGCAAATACCAGCTTAATACCTCTGTTGGTTTCTCCTTTTCCCTCCATCCCTGGACAACCTAGCCATCTGAAATTAAGAGGTGGGGGGTGGGGGTGGGGAATTAAATCCCTTATCATAGGGGAGAGACAAATGTTCTCTGATTTAGTAGAAACAAGATCCCACTGAATACACTGTCATACAACCTATTGCCCCACCAGAAAAAAAGGGGTCTGTGTTTATTACTAACAAGGACTTTTTTTTTTTTAATTAAAGTGCCATCTCTTGACTCACTTCTTAAACAGACCTATTCACTGAATGGGCTTTGCCTCACTCATAATGAGACCTTGGAAAGACCTTAGCTTAAGAAGCCCAAGATCTCCCACTGCATCCCAGGGCCATCTCTAGTTGTCCTGATCGATATCTGGCCACTGGACATAGATGGCTCTGGAGGAGAAAGGGAGGCTGGTGACTTTGCATAGCCCTCCCGCACTCAGATTCAATTCATCTGCAAATCATGTCATCCTCTTCTTGATGTCATGGAAGGACAAACCACCACCACAAGGACTTACATTTCAATCACTCCTAACAGTTGACTAAGCATTTTCTTCACCTGAAAGGTGGTGAAGGTGCTGTCAGAGGTATACCCACCTGCACTCTTGTTAAGACCTCTGCTTTTTGCAATCTAACAGGCTGGCAGTAAGTTAATTAGTTAAGCAGGTAAGTGGTGCAGTGGATAGAATGTTGAAGTTGGAATCAAGAACCCCTGAGTTCACATTCTGTTTTAGATACTTTCTGTGTAACCCTAGGCAAATCCCTTAATCTCCCTGAAACTTAGTTTTCCCATCTGTAAAACGAGGACAACAGTAACATTATGAGGATCAAATGATATAACCTATATTATAGTGCTTTGCAAACCTTAAAGCATTATATAAATAAGTCATTATATATTTTGGACTATTGCCTCTGGCCACCAGCACACATAGCGCTCAGTGTAGACTCCCCTAAAGGCTGATCTATGTAGGAGTAATCTACTTTCTCCACCTCTCTATTTCTACAGGTAAGGTAGTTAGGGAGAGGGATCCTGTAATTTCATTGGTATAGGACAGGTGGGGAACTTTCAGCCTCAAGGCCACATATGGCCCTCTAGGTCCTCAAGTACAGCCCTTTGACTGAACCCAAACTTCACAGAACAAATCCTTTTATGATCCTCCCTCTAAGTCAGGTCTATACCTTCACTATAATTTATCATCCTAAGAAAGTTTCATAAAACCCTGACAGATTAAGTGATTTGCCCAGTCACACCACCAGCACCTGTCAGACGCAATTCATCCTTTTTCAGAAGCCAGCTCTCTATTCACCAAATCATGCTACCACTCAATTCTAAAGGTCAAAAATAGAGGCAAGTGGAAATATGACAGATATTGTATGTTAACCATCTTTTTGTTTGAGGTGTGTTTTTTTTTGTTTGTTTTTTTGAGGCTATCGACTTGCCCAGGCTCACACAGCTACACAGCTAGTACCATGTGTCTGAGGCTGGATTTAAACTCAGGTCCTCCTGACTCCAGGGCCGGTGCTCTATCCACTGTGCCACCTGGCTGCCCCTTTGTTTGAGGTTTTTTGGCCACAGCTATTCTAAGAGTTTGATCAGCGAGTTTAAAATGAAGAAGTCTATAGTTGAAGGTGCTAAAAAAAAGAGTAACTTTATTTTAAAAAATAGTAAAATCTCTCATCTCTGCTCTCAAGCCCCCCTCATCCCTGCTTTG